GGTATAACTTTCTCTCTGTGAATTTGCAGTGCTCATGGGTCACTGCCAACCCAGAAGAGAGGGATGTGTGATTTAATCTCTCCCTTTTGAAATGGACAGAAGGTTTTGGTACCTGAGCTCCAGGAGGGCAGATGAGCTATTTATGAGTGGCTCTGGATTAGGCACGTGCCTGCTGCTTGGTAGAGACCAAACCACACCACAGGTGTGAAGAGGTGCTTCACCTTCTTCATCTATCTCATTTTTACTCTCTTCCATGTTGTTTTCTCTGTATTTTTTCCATATGCTATTGAAAGCCAAGAAGAGTCATGTGGGTAATGAAGAGGAGAAGCTGTTGGTAGGATTGCTGGTTGGGCTGTTCAAAGGTGAACATCCATCTAATGGCTTATTTTAGAAATGCTGAAATGCTTTATTCCAGCCTTTTGTAAAAACAGATTTTAGCATATTTGTCTGTACCTTTTAACAGTTAACTACAATGGTATAAAATGCACCAAAAATATTTCCTTTAGTTGATAGATCACTGAGCTGATATTTTTCAAAGATTCTAAGCATTCCTCTTAATTTGAAAAAAAAAAACAAAAAAAAAAAAGGAGAGCCGGTTACCATTGGCTTTGAATTATCTTTTAAACTATTTACAAGGTAGTTTCTCTTCCTTATTTGCTTAACTTATTTTTTAATAACTCAAGTTAGATGATTCATTTTTAACATGTTTGACTTAAAACTGAAGCTACTCACTTGACCTTCTAGGCAGGAATTAAAATTTAATTATTCTTTCAATTATTTTAATTTATTGTCTGTCATTTCACTCTAGCTTTTTGCAGATGTTATAGCCATGAATTAGAATAACTAAAGCTGCTTCCTTTGATCTTCCAGTCCAGGTGAGAATAAGAATGCATTGGCTAGCTAAATACATTTTCATCTCACTCCTTCATGAGTAGTTTAGAATCCATCATAAAGTTATGCTCATTTAAATTCTTTACAATCCAAAAAACGTATTTCCTCCCCTGCCAGGGTTATGAAGAGAGGTATAACCTATAAATCAACTTTGGGTTTTTTTATTTGAGTATTTTCTGGTCTCTCCCTCGGAGGATTAAAAATCATGTCTCAAGACAGGCCATTAAGTATCATCTATCTGAGAGACTTGTAGGTGCAAGAAAAATGTGGTTAGACTTGATCAAGGAAAGAACTACAGAAAAAGAAACTCAAATTCTCTCTTATTTCTGTTCTGCTGGTAGCTAGTCACTGCTGTAGTTTTAATTTAATCTTAAATACATTTCATTTCACCATATGAATCATAACATTTAGTGTATCTTTATCATAAATTGGGAAGCAGAGAAGAGCATGGCAATGTGCTTTCACAACTTGAAAATTGTTTCTTTTTTAAGTGGCTTAAAGTAGAAGATGGGAAGCAAAGCTTCTGTAGGTTAGCAGTGTTTTGTTGGCAAGGCAGACCTAATAATAAAGTTGAGGTTAATAATAAAGTTAAGGTTGTCAAAACCAGCAATTTTAGATGTTAAGAAGTGCTTGATGTGGACACCATTAGGGCCTAAGCAAACTCTTCCCAACTTTGCTAGGGATGAACAGGAAATGATAAACACACAAGAATAAAAACACATAGAAAGAAAAAAAATAGGATTCAGAGGATTTTTTTATAAAGTCTCAGTGATATATAAGAATTATTAAATATTTATATCCACTCTTCTTTATACAAGTGAGAATAAAAGACAGGAAAGGGACTGCTATCTTCTACTGCACAAGCTTTGGAAGTGGGAATGATGCAAAACAAAAGACTGTATCCAGAAGCTGTATAGTCAAAGTGACAACTCAGAGTAATAGCTGGGTCAGAAATGAAAAAAAAATGTTAAAATCAGTTTTATTAAACTTTCTAAAGGCAGACACAGTGTATGAAACAAGTAATACGCATAGTGAATTTTTATTTTACAAATGTCTGTAAGATGCATCTTCAGTTACTAAATCTCCATATTCAAATGAATTCTCACAGCATTGCTAAATATCAGCAGTATTATCAAGCATTGTATTTGTGTATCAAAAATTATATTGAGCTCAATAGTTGATCCCTTTCTGCTACCTAGTATTAGTTGATGGCTTCTGACATTCTAGTCTCTGCAGAAAAACAAATGCAGGAGTTTCCATATACAACACTCTCAGCAGTGTCCTGTGTTTTAGTCATATCAATATATTTTATTTCATTATGAGTTCACTGTGCAACATTTTAGGGTCTTGGGGATGAGCTGAAAAATGAGCTTTGGGATGTGAAGTGAGGCTTGGTGGTCTGCTTGACATGAGAATTTGGAGAAGCTGTCACAGGGAGCGCAGTACTGAGTTATTGGTACCGCTGAGCAGCTCTGTGCTCCTTCCTGAGGATGGCAGAGTGCAGCTTCAGCAGCACTTGGTGAAAGTGAAGGAGATGTTCTGACACTGTCTTCTGCTGGAGCAGCAGGAACTTTGGGTCCCAGCTTTGTCCCAGAAGCAGTGCAGCTGCACCCTGCTGTCTGCAGCCACCATCCAGGGCTCAGGAGGCCCCAGAGGCTGTGCCAGTTTGACCTTTGCTGTCACCTGTGGTCTCACCTGGCAATCCTGTTTTATAGAGGGCACCTGCTGGGGCAGGCAACACCTGACACCTGCAACACCTCCCAGGATTCAGTAGCTTGGAAATCCTCAGAATGCTCGAGTAGAAATAGAAAAAGCTAAAAGTGTAAGTGTGTAAATTAGAAAGTTTTTTTAAATCACTGGGTGAAAAAGTTAGTTTAGAGAACAGGAGACAAGATGGAGGATTTAGGGTGTTGTCCCTTGTCCCTTCTTCTTTCTTCTTCATGTTCTTCACCTAGAGGTTTTTGGGTAATAGTAAGTGATTGGATAGAAAATGCCACAGTGCATCACAGAGGTGATGGGTCATTGGGTCATTGAGAAAAATAATATACGTGTCTGTTGTTAATTGGGTAAAAATAGGTATAAAGATAAAAGAACTGTGTAGTTCGGGGCCATTTTGTGCATCAGACACAAAGTGTGCCACAAGGCCTTGTTTGTACCATCAGAAGAAAGAAATGTACCAGATTTCAAAGATTAACCTTGTGTAGCCAGCCTGGAGAGACCTGTTAAGTTTGGAGATCACCTGTTAATAAACATGAGAAACAAGATTTTAATGAGCTTGGGAGTTTTCTTCTAATCAGAAGAACTGAGATAAGCAGGGCTCTCCACAAGGGAGGATCCCAAAAAAATCCAGTCCAAAGGAAAAGCTGTCAAGGGAACAAGTAGATGTGGGGGCCAGATATGCTTTGGGCATAGGCTGTTTGGCTCCTTCTAGTCTTGTGTTGGCTTTCTGAGGCTCTAAACTTGTGCTGGCTGGGTCACCTTCCAAGGGACATTCCAGTCATGAGCTGTCAGCTGGCTGGGGACCACTGCTGCAGAAAAGGAAAAATTACAAGTGTGCTTTCTTGCTTTATATTAATTGAAAATTTGAAATCTAGTTTACTTTCAAGGATATTATTTTTCTTAACGAATGAAATGCGGATTTCTCTTTAGCAGAGAGAGAGAACAAGAATTTACGTATTGGATACTTACCTCTCAGCCTAGTGCTGGGTTATCCCTCCTGACTTCTTTCAGAAACATAATCAGCAAGATCAGGCTTTGGGTGGGAAAGAAAGACAGGTCTTCCTGGAAGGCATAATAGGAAGTGCTTAAGTAGCCATGTGGTATATAGAATTGACTTTTTTTTTCCTGTCTCTTTTTCTTTTGCAGATGTACAGCAGAATATGGAAAGCAAACAAAAAAATTAAATTGCATTACTTCTGTGAACATCTGCCTGTCAGTGTGCCTGTTTGTTGGCTCAGTTCATTAAAATGCAAGATTAATATAATTTAGATTAGAATCAAAAGTAGGCATTACACCTCTTAAAGTTAACAAAAAGTTTCATTTCCAGTCTTGTTATATGATTCACGATCAGCAGTAGTTATCTACTAATACATACTTTGTCCTGTCAGCTTGGGTGGTTTTAACCATATTTATTTTGGTATGATTATTTTTGAAATAGATTAGGTTGTAAACTTATTACATTGATTAATAAATTGTATGAATATATTCATTTAATACTGGTCCAATTTTGCTCGGATGATCTTTCTTAATAATAGAAGAAAATTATTGTAATGAAGAATTGTAATTTTGGTGTCAGTCCTTGATGCTGACTGATGCATTCAAAGTATTGATAGGCCAGCTTGGAGGTTAATGGTTACAGCTTGGAGGGAGAAGAGATTTCCAGCCCAGGGTCATCAGAACTCTAATATTTCTGAGACCAAAGTTTCTTATTTTAACTAATATTATCCAATTCGCTTTGCCAGTGGGATTTGTAGATTTCCTCTGCCTTATCTATCTGTTATCACCTGCAATCTCTTGGGGAAGGAGACTGTCTCTGTTCTGTGCAATGGTTTAGTGCAACGAGGTCCTCATCTATGGAAAGCTCTGTTAGGTGCCTAGAAACACAGATGAGTAAAACCCTGAATGCAGAGAGTAGATTTAAGCTTTGTTGTCTTGGGCAGACAAAGGGATCTGAGTCTTCATGGTACCTGTTGTGGATGGCCCCTCACTCTGCACAAAGCCTTCAGTTTCCCTCTTGCCCTCACACATAGCAGCAGCAGCAGGCAGAGCAGGGGTTTCAGCTTATAGATGAGGCATTATGGACAGGGAGGGGCTGCATGAGGGACCATGCATGAGAAGCACTTTATCCTATAAGTCTCTAGGAGTATCAAATCAATCCTTTCTGCTTCCTGCTGGCACGACAATCTGCCTTTCCTCCCTTTCAGAATAACAGTTTCCTGTCTCAGCATCAGTCTTGCACTTGTGCTTAGCTTTGGATGTCCCTCCAAAGGAGCCATTTGCTCTTGCAGGCAGCCCAGAAGCAGTGCTTCCTGACACTCACATTTACCAGCCTGTCAGAGCTTTGCTGTTAGAAAAATCCTTTCCTCAGCGTGGCATCCATTTTACATGAATTTAAATGAAGGCAGAGGAGTTGCTAGCATGCTAACTCTGCTCCAGAAGTATCATGTAATATAAGACAATAATCAGCTTTTCCTTTATTAGATGTGACTGATCAGACCCATTAATACTTAATGGAAACAGGATTGTTGTATAGTTTATCCAGATGTGCAATGGTTCTCCAGAGCATTGCAAATTGCTTTGAATCCTGGATTCTTCCAAGTTCAGCGATATTTCTGCAGTTCACCATAATGATTGAAATCGACAGAAGCACTCACCCTAATTGCTACCTAATCAAATTTGAAAATACTTTTTCAAGGATGTAAGATGATATCTGAAACTTGCTTCCTTCCCTTTGGACTATCACTGTCAAAAATTGTTGGCCTTCTGGTTGCTCAGCAAATTTCATTTGTTGTCCCAAGCTGCTTCATTTGGAACTGAAGTGATGAATTGATTGGTGTGAAGGTCTTATGATTAGTGTACTTAGAAAATTTAACATCATCTATCTATCTATCTATCTATCTATCTATCCATGAATGTGTGTATTTTGTCTTCTACTCTGTAGATTTTATGAAAATATATCCCTTGATATTACATCTTGGGAGTCTTTCTTTAACTCACTTTGAATGAAGAAAAATAAATCTCTGGACAAACTGTACTTCTGAAGCTGAAATCATATGGCTACTTGAAGAATGTTCTTTTTCATAGAAGAAAAGCTGAAGAGGTTAATTAGAGCTCAAAGCCAGTTAAGAAAAGACAGAAAATATTAGACTTGCATTCCTGTTTTGATTGCTTCCTCCTACCAGCAGGTCTGCTCTTCCTTAGCACTGCAGTAATGACTTGCAGATAATTCCATCACATAGTTCCTTGGCTGTTCTGTGCTTCAGTGTCTCTTCAGCATCTGTGCTATGGGGCTGAAAGGCTTGTCACAGGACTGAGGACAAGATACACAGCACTGCTGGCATGGTGGTCTGGACACTCTTCCTAAGCCTACTGATGCTTTACAAGAAGGTAGGAGCAGAGTGACAATGTCCAGACACTGCAGCCAGCAGGGCTGAGCAGTTACATTTGGATCAGCCCTGTGTCCCTCATGGGACAGTGATGGCTGATCAAACAGCTGAACTCTGGCTGAGCTGGCTGGACCTGTGGGACCCAGGAGATCTCCCTTCTCCGTGGCAAAGCAAAGGTTGCTCATTTCATCCCAGATCCCAGCTCCAGCCACTCCTGAACCTCATCCTCAGGGAAGGGAAAACCCCTTTCACAGCTCTTCTGTTTCCCACTTGCCTGCTGCTCTGACCTGCTCTACAGCTGCCCATCCACACACAGGCACACACCGTGGGTGCTTGCAGCAGCCCTCACCTGTGTCCCCTCCCCAAGATTCTCACGTCAAGGTCCCTGGCAGCCTGCACCTGCCCTGACCTGAATGGGGAAATGCTCATCCAGTACTGAGCTGGAAGTAGGATTTAATAAGAAAACAGAACAGACTGTAGCCATCAAACATAATCTTCCAAATTCCAAATTAAGTGCTCAGCTGCCTATTTACATGGGAGTGCACCCTCCACCACTAATCTTCCTTCCTCATACTTTTCTTGTACTTGCTCCTTCCTGATCTGATCTCTCCCTTTATCATCCTACTTTTTTCTACTTTAATCATCCAATAGATATTGCATGATCCTAAATGTCTCATCTGCTACAGCCCACAATTTTCTTTGCCCAGCATCTCACCAAGGAACAGATGCTGCTTTAAAAGGAACTGGCTCAGTGTGTCAGACAGAAAGTTTCTTTGGTAGGTTTCACACCAGGGACAATGGTGTAATCATTTCTTTCTGTGAAAATATTTGGTATTTTCTGTTCTTCACTGGTCTGATCACTTGGGTTTGCCCACCTGGCAAAGTGGGACTGCAACCTGTTGATGTTTGGGAAGAAAAGTACATAGGTTCCCAAATCATAACCATTTGCAAGGTGATGTATTTTCAGCTTTACATCTATTACCATTTTCAAATTCAATTTTGGGTGACATGAAGAGGAAAGATAGATATGAAGCTAGGAAGGCAGTGCTAGGCAAAAGTGCTGTGCATATGCAGAAGTCTGGAAGTATACATGTTTTCTTGGCTGTCTAGTTTTGAACAGATTGGTGGTATGCTGTTGACTTTTATTTTTTTACTGCACTGTAAATCTGCTAAACTCTTATGTTTTGCAGAAGTTTAAGCACCTCTGAATTTGCACAATTTGGAATGGAATTTGCAATGCAGGGGGAGAGGGGGATGTTGCATGCATAAAAGACAGAATTTTATTTATGGAGACCCATAATAATGCACTGTAGGTTACTGAAGTATGCAGGATGAACAACCGCTATAATAATAACATCATAAATTTCTAAATTGCTGTTAGGGAGGAAGGCTTGGGGAGGCTGGTAGCTAAAGAACAAGCATTTTCCTGTAATAGCTCTATAGGCATGTAAGTCAGAGTCTTTTCTTCTTTTCTTTTTCCTTATATTTTTTCCTCAGTGAGCAATGCCAGTTCCTTCAAGCCAGCTTTTCTTGCATTTAACAGTCCTGTTGAATGGGCAAAAAACTTTGAAAAATACTTTGTGTCTTTGTGTGCAGGTACACATACATGCACAGTTTTATCTGCTAGTACTTGTAAAAGACTAAGAAACCTTTTTTGCTTCGAGAAAATTGAACATGAGACTTGAAATACATGCAGCTTGTACTGTCACAGCACAAGGCTTTCCTGTTTATGAAATGGGATTGTCAGAACTCAGGAAAAATTTGTGCTTCTCCCTTGTTGCAGTGAATCGAGAAAATCGAATCAAAGAAATGATGGATTTTTCCAAGTGTCTGGTGAATAGGAACTATTGGCAATAACAATCTCAGCAGTCTGTAAGCCTCTCACTCACGTACCTACCCTCCATACATACCTTGAATATACACCTCATGGCTCCTTCGTTTCTCCTTTTCCTCCTCTTTCCCAGATCACTTTCTTTTGTCCCTTTTGTGTACAGTGAGAGCTGTTTTCTATTCCAGGCTGTCTTTCCAGAAGGAGAAGCCTCAGAGGGCGACATGTTCTGCTTGTGATGGTGTTTGTTGAGGTGGGTGGTGCTGCGGGTGAGCTGATAACTCCAGCTTCAACTGGAAAATATATGCAAGGCCACGATCAGTCCACATATCCCAGCACCAGAAATGGATTTATGAATCACATATTAGTCAATAGCCTCTTAAGCATTAAAGAAGGCACAATCTCCTAGCAGTTTTCAGGGGACTGTACTGTAGGGCATTTTAAAATTTTTAAATTAAAAAACTTTTAAATTAAAAGACATTTTAAATTAAGAAATTGAGAAACAGGTTTTTAACTTATGTGGTGTGCCAGGCCTTTAAACTCTGTGCAGCTGACCTATATGTCCACACACACATCATAGCTTGGCCCAACTGTTTTTTCCCTGAAAGACTCAAAAGTACTCATTAAAAAATGTCATCAGTACAATTTAGTTTGCACACACTAAAAGAAAAGCAGCAAATATCTGTGTTTCACTGTGTTTCTGCACATCGCTGTCCCGGGCTCCTCAACAGGGAGCAAGAAGCAACCAGCACCACCACCCACCGTGCAAAACTCAGCCTTTGCACCACCAAAAAAGGCAGCTTTGCTGTGGTCCTGCTCTCTGCTGGAATCTGCAGGGTGTCTTTTGGATCAGGAGAGGACTGTTCAAGTGGTTTATCCCCACCTGCTGCAGGAGGGATCTCTGTGGGAAGGGGTATCTGCTTCTTTTGAATGAGCCTAAACCAGAAATCGTGTCCTGAAAGTTTATCTAATCTGGTCCAACTGATAATAGGGTTCCAGTCCATGGGAGGATACCAGAGTGACTCTGAAGTAAACCTCTCCCTTTGGGGATAAACCCACCACAGCCTCAGTGGTTTTTGGCTTGGTAAACCCAGTCTTAATGTCTTTGGTGACACAGTAAAAGAAATGTGGAAAAACCATGGCAAGATGGAACCTGGCATCCCAAGAAGGGATTGACAATTACTGTTTGGTGGGGTTTTGTTTGTTTGTTTAGCCCCTAATCTAGTGGGTGCCATCCCTGCCCATGGCAGGGGACTTGGATTACATGAGTTTGAGGTCCCTTTCAACCCAAGCTATTCTATGATTATATGAAACACAATATGTGTTTTATTTAACTGCAGATGGCAGTAGATGAGGCCCTTCAAAGATCTATAAAATACCAGATTCTTACATCCCCTTGGGACCCTGATTGTGTTCAATCTCTACAGCTTCAAAAAGATTTGACCTACAACTAACAATATTATTTCTTACCTGTGTCTATCTGCAGACAAGCTCCATATAAACCTCATTTTATACTTCCTGGGTAGCTCAGGAGCATTGATCTTCAAAGCACAGTTACAGAGTGGTCTGCTAACAACAGGAATGTACTAAATTGTGCCACTCTGGGAGTGTTCAAGGTGTTTGCTAGAAGTTTCTCTTCAGCTGATACTCAGTCTCACTTACTTATGAGGTCAGAAGGAGTCACAACACAGAATGACTCAGCTGATGATGTGGTGAATACCTGTCAGTTATTTGTCTGGCACTATTATTCTGGCTCTCCAAGCTCCTGGGAGAAAGTAAATGTCAAAGGCACTTTTAACCCAGGAGCTGAGCTTTTTCAAGAGCTGGTGTTTAATATATTCATGCCAGGCTAAATAGGAAGGCTGACACAGGTAATCATCTGCTGTGCCGAAGCACCATCTGTCAGTGTAAGAAGGGCAAGTTGAAACCAGATTACATTCACCTGAAAAAAAAAAAAAAAAAAAAATAAATAAATAAAAAAAAGCTGAAGTTTAGGCTGGGCATTCAAAGGCCAATCCTTTCCCTGTTGATTTCAGGCCAGAATGAGATTATGAGCTGTCTTAATTTATCTCACTTCCAATTCTTGTAAGCAGGGAAATAGAAACCTAAATAAAGTGAGCAGTAAATACTTTCTGTGGTGTGCAGAGAAACAGAATTCCATTCAGCCCTCTCAAATATCTTTCGAAACAGAATTAACTTGTCTTCTATGTTTCTGTGCATCTCCAGAATAAGATACTACATGTTGGTGGGGTCATCCTGCTGAAGAGAGAAGGGGCTGCCAAGGATCTGCAGGTTAGGGAGAGGAAGTGGAGAAGCTCTACTGATGTCCCCCAGGGGACCTACAACCTGCACACCAGTCACTGCAGGAGTCACCCTCCTGAGAGGCAAGAAGAGAGAGGAAATCCTGTTTCCCTGGCAGGTAGGTCCTCAGTGGTCCCCTTTGTTTGACTGCCTGCAGGGGAAAAGTTTAGCTCCTTTCTGCTGTGTCTCCTGCAAGTTATTGTACTTAGTTGAAGGTTGGACTTGATGATCATGGAGGTCCTTTTCAGCATTTACAATTTCATGATTCTGTGATCTATTAAGTCTTGCTCAACTTGTGGGTGTTTCCCATGTAGGGAATTAGTGCTGAGCTGTTCAACCTGCTGTGAGTCTTGAATAAAATTATCAGGGTCACGTAGCACTGGTAAGAGAACCACCATTTGGAAAGTTCATAACACTGCTCTTTTCTTATTTTTGAAAACTGTTCTTTAAGTGCATAATTTTTAAATGGTATAACCTGATCTATATGTTTGAAACATATTTTGTACAGTACAATCCCAGAGGCTCTTTGAAAGGAGCAGGGAGGTAACAATGGGCAACAGAAGGTGAAAATAATGAGGAAGGTTTCGAGAACAACTTTTCTCCTCACAGAGTTCATAGATAGTTGTTCACTGTTTGGGTTTTTTGCCATAGACTCTTGGGACGAGAGATTTTGCCCCCTAATTTTTAGGATTTTCACAAGACTTGATGTCCCACAAAAGGAAAATCTTTGTTCTCAAGACTAAGGAAAGCTGACAAAAACTCTACTTCTCCCAACATGTTTCAGGATTAAAAAAAAAGGTGTCTAAGTGTGGAGACTGACTGGGATAAAACTTTCAGAAACCAGAAATAGAACAGCTTCAGCACCATTACCTCTTCCATACCCCTTTGACTGAAGGGATTTCTAAAAGCTGAACTCTTCTCCAGCTGGTTTTAGGGCAATCCAAATATACAAAACCAGACTATTTCTGCTTTGGATTATTTTTCCCTTCATGCATGTATAATAATACAAAATTATATTATATAATCTTAAAATGCTCTATGCATTATAATGTTATTATATTGTTATAATATGTAAAAATATTATAAAATAAATCACTATTAAATTTTGTAACATATATTCTATACCTGATACATAATGATGTAATAATACTTCAAATATGGAAATAAATTTGCTATAAGTGTTGCTTTAACTGCATCTACACTGGATTTTACTTTAAATTAAGCATATATGGATTTTGAGAACCCTCCCAGCCACAGGGTATGATGACAGCCCCATGCTGGGTGCTGTAATCATTGTTTCCTCACTCTTGAACATCTTGATTTGGGACTATGGTACATCTCCATCACTGACATGGCTTGACCACTCAGCTCTCAACTCCTACTGCTGTTCAAGCATGCCTGAAAACAGTACATTTCATTTTACAGTGAAGGTTTTGTCATGAAAACAAGGGAATAAGAAACACTCTGCAATTTACTCGGAAGACAGACTATCTGCAGCCTTAGTTAGGTGCATAATGAGTACAGCTGAGACTGCAGTGCTCCTGAAGAACTCTGGATGTAAAAATAAACTCTACAGAGCAAAGGAATTCAGTGTTCCAGGATGCATTTCACAAATAAGATATTAACTTCTAATCAAGAAGAGAGACACCACAATCTTAAACCTGTCCAAGTATAGAAAATACCCTATTTGGGGAATGTCAGAATTTCATTACATAAATAGTTATTAAACTAAAACAGAGAGCTTGTAATGCAACATAAAATACAGGTTGTAAACACATACTCCACAATGCATTTAATTTTTATTTCATTTTCCAGATTCACATCGAAAACCTGAATGTAGTTACTGTTGTGTGAACTTAGCAAAGAGAAGCACTAAAACCTTTTGTTGTTCTTTCAAAAGACATATTGAAAGACAAAGTAGATGAGTTAAAATCTAGAAAGATCTTGTACATTTGGATATACTCTCACTTGTGGATGCACTCATAAATGCTCTCTTTCAAAATATATGTTACAGCCTGTGTATATGTGTGAAGGGAATAATACATACTCACACAGAAATATACTTTCCTAATTAGTAATTTTCAAAATTAAAAGTGATTCATTTCCTCTTAGTTGTCATTTGAAACACATAAAATAAAATTGCAGAAAAGTGTAATTACAGATTATTTTTAAGCTACAAAACATTGCACCTACCAGTATGTGGCTATGGCATAGAAGAAATAAGAAATGCATCTTAGTGAAATCACCTTGCTGTTCTATCTTGATGAAGAAAATGGTTAAAAATGCATGATGAAAGGCTAGATAACAAATTTTATACTCTAATTCATTGGAGTGGTCTGTATCTCCCTTTTACCAAACTCTCCTTGTTTCTCATGCATAGAGGTGATTATTTTTCTGTGAAAGTATAGTGGGCGCTGCATTTTTGTCTCTAATCTGAAAATCTTAGTGTGTTGCCAAAATCATTCTCTGAATGTCTTCTGTCTGATTTTTATTTTAATTGAAACAGGCTGGTAAAGTAATGCTCATACAAGCTGCTAATGTGTGTGTAGTTTATCTTCATTTAATGAAATGTCAGGTTTAAGACAGGAGAATCATGGAGTTTCCTAAGTTGTGAGGAGTTTCAGAATAATGAGATTGTGTTTCCAACATTGCCAGAACTGTTTGAACTTTCTAAAGTAGTTAGAAAGGTTGTACATGTGGTGGAACACTTAGCCCCTTTATAATTCGTTCCTTTTTAATTCTAAAAGGCAATTCTGAATGGTGTGCTGTCACTGATCAGCGTGTCCAATTCACACTAAGGCCACTGGGGGCTGGTACACAAATCAGCATCAGTGGATGTTCCCAAATAAAACTTCTTTCCAAAATAATTGAAAAATATTGTTTTACTGTGTAGTTCCTCACCACAAAAAGAAAAAAGAAAAACAAACCCTGTCCACTATGATTCTGTTTCTTTTTTTCTCCTTAGAAAATGTCAGAAATGTCTGTGTATGACTTTATGTGGGGAAGAGCACATTGCTGAATGACAGGCTTAAAAATCAACTTGCTGTGCTGCTGCCTAATTCCTACAAAAGAGGGAGAGAAATTAAAAGGCAGACAGGTGATAATTTCTGACATGGGGAGGAAACTTCTTATTTTGATGCTCTTTTCTGTCATAGAATCACAGAATATCCTGAGTTGGAAGGTACCCACAAGGGTCACTGAGTCCAACTCCTGGCTCTGCACAGAACAGCCCCAAGCACCCCACAGTGAGCCTGAGAGCATTGTCCAAATGCTTTGTGAGCTCTGTCAGTCTGGTGCTGTCCTGGGTGCCTGCTCCAGTGCCCAGCCACCCTCTGGGGAAAGAACCTTTTCCTGATACCCAACCTAAAATATCAAATAGCCCAGCTCTCCTGTTGAATTATAGGCAAAATTATTTCAGCCTTTTGTGCATGAATTATTCCTGAACAGAGGTGCATGGAGATGGTGGAATTTTGACATGAACTGAACAGTAGGCAAACATAAAACCAAAGAAAGGCTGCACTGCAGCAATACCACTGTACTCAGCTACAGCAGCTCAAAGGACTGACTTGTAGACTGGTTCAAGAAAATAACATCTCCCCTGCAAACCCCATCTAGGTTATTTTGTTGAAATTGCTGAAAACCAGCATTCTTCATAGCAGGTGAAAGTTAAGTCTCCTGGGAGGCAATGAGACTCTTCTTGTTATCTTCATGGCTGTTTGCATTTATTTTCTTACCTTCTTTATTCAGAGGCATCTGTATATTTACCAATTTTGAACAAAACCATGAAAACATGTATGGTAAACTGAAGCTTTCTATATAGCTCCAGAAAAAAATTCCCTTCCTAAGGCAGAGGGAGTTTCAGGACTTTTGACCTCAGTACTGTGAAGTACTGTAAATGTATCTACTTACAGTATTTTCTCATCTATGAAAGAAGAAAAAAAAAAATAAAGCAAAACTGAATTTGAAATAAGCTAGAGGCATGAAATAAAATGCTATAAATACAATATATCTTTTATGTCACAAAGTTCATATGATTCAAAAGAGCTGTGGGGAAAAGGCTATTGAACTTTCCTTGGAAAGTGACAGAAATAAATCTCCTACTCTAATTTATCAACCAGTGTGGGACTAGAGTCTCTCCAATCAAAAGACATTGAGATCTAAATGTGAAGTACAGGAAAAAGAAAGGGAAAAAGAAACACCCCAGAAGTTTTAACCTTGACAAACTCAGACTCACAGACTTTAAACAGGCAAAACAAAAAAGTTAATAGGCACTGTAATAGAAGAACATCAGTACTCTTTAGACAGTCTCTGATACATGTTGATGGGTCTATATTTATTCTTTAAACCAATGAAACACCATGCAATTATTCTAATACCATACTTTGGAAGTGGGAGAAGTTGTAAACAGAGGTATGATGATGATGTTAAGGACTCACCACACTGGGTTCTTAGACTCTTCTCACCACTTGGGATTTTTCCTTTTGTGTCCCATTGACATGGCTGGGAAGAGCACCTCAGCTGAAAGGACTTCCAAGATTTACAGAACTGAATTGCTCTTTTGGAGTCTCAGCCATAAAACCCTGCACAAATCTACAGTGCCCCCCTCTCGCTGGCATTTGGGGCTGGCTGGGTGTG